TAAATCTACTCGATGAAACATCAACCAAGTATGGCATGGAAATAAACGCAGAAAAAAAGTAATGACTAATAATCCAGCTGGCAGAATTTCACTAATCTACATTAAAGGTCACAAATTAGAACAAGTGACTCATTTCAAATATTTAGGATCAATTTTAAGTGACTTGGGGGTCATGACCAGAAATCATGTCTAGGATTGCCTTAACAACACCAGTCCTTGCCAAGCAGCAAACAATATGGAGATCCAAAAACATTTTATGTAAAAACTAAGATTTGATTGCTCAGAGCACTAGCTATTAGTACATGTACATATGGCTGTGAAACGTGGACATTAACAGCTGAACTTAAAAGAAAAATAGAAGCATTAAATATGCGATGTTTCAGCAAAATTATTGGCATATTATACAGAGACCACATTACAAACGAAGAGGTTCGCCATAAATAATACAGATCATTGGGAACTATAAACCTCTTTTAACTAAAGTAAAAAGGCGAAAAATGCAATGTTATAGACATGTAATAAGATCTAACGGCCTTTCGAAAACAAAACTGCAGGGCTTAGTAGACGGAAAGAGGAGAAGAGGCAAATTAAGAAAGATCTGGTTACAGAACCTGAAAGACTGGACATGCCTCATGCAAGCAACCATGAAGCCCATCGCAACTGACCGCCAAAGGTGGAGAGAGATGATCAGACCGTCAACAGAAACTGGTGACCCAACGACACACAGTAATGATGATGAATGGTTTATAGGAGACTCCCTTCCGGTCGCGCTGTTACTAAAAAATTATTGGGGGAGGGGCTTATAATGATTTTCAAGGAATCGATGGATTTTGGCCTAGATTTAGCTAAAATAATAATAGTAATAATAATAATAATAATAACTGTTCTTGTTGTTGGTGATGATGTTGTTGTTGATGTTGTGTGCTGAATAACACACAATGTGACAATTAAATAATGAGACATATTTTAAAACAGTTCAAACAAAAATCATCAACGAAGCACATTATGTCATCCAAACCGGCACCATTCATCTATGATCTGCCAAACTGTAAAGCAGCATGGTCAGCAGACGACATGTATCCAGCCATATTGTTTAACTAGTCAAAGTGGCCTCGTTACGTATGCAACAAGGGCGAACATTAATTAGGTTGCAAACTCAAAAAGATGATCTTGAGACAGTTGAATTTATAAAATAAGTTCATGAGAATCAATGTTTGTCAAGATCAACAAAACTTTCTTCTGTCATGGCCCTCTGTGAGACATCGGTCTTTTTGTTTTCTTTCGATGACTTTAGCAATTTGTTTTTCATTTCAAATCAAAATTGGATTTCCTGCCCCAGCTTCATCTTCAATCTTTTTCACACCGGTGTTGAATCGCAAATGCCGCACGGAGATAAACATCCATCCCATAAACCCATCTTACGGTTTGGTCACGACCGGCTCCAGCTGACGGGCCGTGTTGCTGACTTCACAGGGTCGGGCTAACGATGCGTTGACACAGCAGTTCTCAAACTAGATGCCAAATCACCCTGTGTTGTCGTGAGTGTATGCCAGGGGTACCGCGGTAATAATCAAGAAAAGTCGGCCACAAATTGTGAAATGATTAAAAAAAGACATGCAGATACTTATTTTTGAGTTGTCTTCCCTCGCCAGTGTCGAATATAGTTTATTTCTTGTTTGAGAACCACTGCGCTAAGGCATCGTTAGCCCGACCTGGTGACGTCAGCAGCACGGCCCGTCAGCTGGAGCCGGTCGTGGTTTGGTGAGGGTGCCCAAGGGTTCTAAGCCCGTAGAATCCGACGACTATGTGAAACAGAGGAAAGGCATCGACAGGTTTGGTTTAGACGACGGACCAATATCGTGGCACAAGGGGTGACCCATAACTGCTCCGTTCTACTTCTAACTCAAGCCTGAGTCCGAAGAATCTTACACTGTGCACGAACTCCGCAGCACATGCGAGGATCGTGAAATACTTTGGGTAGATTTTTTAATCTCCAAATGTTACCCGGGCAGCGCTGTTAGGCTACTTTTTTCGATTTCCAACTGCCAAGAGATTTTTTTTACGTGCTCAACAATACACACTGGCGTCCGATCTTGCTACCCAAAGACCAGGAGAAAGTACTAAAAGTCCACGTGAAAAAATCCAAGCCTTCACCGGGACCTGATCCCGGGACTTCCGACATCCGAGGCGGACACCATGCCGCGTGACTACGCACCCCCCCCCCCCCTCCCCTCCCCTCAACCTCCCCCGAATATATCTAAAGCTGGATAAATGAAATTGTCAAGAAGGAGTGTTGACATTAACATATTTTATGAAACAAATATTACATACTGAAAGCAAAATGTGAGACGTTAGTTAAATATTCAAATTTCCATGCATAAAATAATTTTTGTGAACATAATGCACAAATAATTTAATGTTCACATGTGTCAAACAATACTTTTGTTGCTCAAAACAAATACCGTTAAATAGACAATAATTTCTCTCTGTCATGTAACGTGCTATACCAGGGAGCCGCTGTACAGTAGTTAGAGGTACACTCTCCTGCCGACTGGGTGAGTAAAATACTGGGAGTTTTCGTAGCCAAGTGATCATGTCGTTTACCTAGCGCTCTGTAGGCTGTGGGTTTGTTTCTCGGCTGCGTCATACGGTTTGCAAATGTGATTTTTTTTTCAACTGAGAGTCATGGGGACAGTCTCAGGAATTACTGTGTTCGTGCTTTATGCGACATCAGACAGGTAGCCGAGAGACTGAGCCATATGGGATAAATCCGACGCAATGAAGTCGATCCTGTTGACTTCAACAGTTTATGACGTTATTTATTTAATTTATTACATGTACGTACACAAACACACACACACACACACACACACACACACACACACACATATATATATATATATATATATATATATATATATATATATATATATATATATATATTTGTGTGTGTGAGTGGATATAAGTTTGAATGCCCCTATAGGATATAAGGAGCTATAGTAAGAATGACACTAAGAGGGTTCATTTGACAGCTTGAGGAAAAAAGTTAATAATTGCAGCTGAAACCAACAAACGCATAGTGAGTTGCTGGGTACTAAGCTTGATGTCAACATGACCTAAGCTCCTATGTCGATCCAGTTTCTAAATGTGTAACAGGAGATTTTTGGGAGCTGCCAGCTGAGAAGGACCACAGCACCTTTCTAGTGACGAGTGGTCTGTCCAACCTGGATTATCACCATACACGATGGGACATCTAATTAAATAAAATATTAGACCCCCTCAGATGGCCTTATTTCTTGTGGTGGGTGCCTCTAGCGCCTAAGCCCTGTTTAAGTACATAATGATAATAATAATTATGTGCTTATATCGCCAGTGTAGAACAAAAAAGACGTCGAAAGCTGGATGAAGTGAGACCGGGAAGGTTAGTTTAATATTATTAATAATAATAATAATAATAATAATAATAATAATAATAATAATAATAATAATACGAGACTCGTATTATAATAATAATAAGGTTAGGTTAGTTGTGTATCCTTTGCAGGACGTTGCAGAACCAGCCCCAGCAGCCCCTGGCTGTTGTGTGGTTTATCTAGGCAAATGTACTTCCAGTAGTTTGCCATTGCTTCTTTGGACGGTCGGCTCCCTGATACCACTGTCGAAACAAATGCAAGGCGCATGGCCCGCAGCTGGGATCGAACCCGGCACCCCGGCATTACGAAGCGTTCGCATCGACTTAGCCACAGAGCCGACTAAAATAAAATAATAACATAATTTTAATAATAACATAGTAATAATAATGTGCTAAATAGCAAATTGATCAGATAGGAATATTTAAAATAACAGCTCATATATTTTACAATATACACGGCTTATAGGTCTAACCAGCTCGCTCACACATTGTCTACCTGGAGGCATAGCAACCTCTTTATTGAATTTCAGTGTGAGTGTAAAGTAAACGACTCCCCATGTGATCATCATCAAACGACTAATTGTACTGTGTTTCGAGCCTGAAAAAAAGAGTAGGGAATACCCCTTTCGAAACGTAAGTATAATTATCTGTTTATCCTATGACAATATACAAGCCAGTCCGGTCCTTTACATGTTTTCAGTTATATCCATAAATTCAACAAATGATTCATAAAAATAAGTTAGCATAAGTAGTAAACATAAGTATGTACATAAATATAGACAAAGGTAAAACGTGGATTAAAACTGTAAAACAAGACGCTTGCCTAGGTCTTGGGTGGCAGATTTTCTTCCGAATGTAAGCCAATTATAAAATGGATACCATTATGTTTAGTATCTGTCTGTGCTGAAAATTTTCGTACTATTTTCATGCAATATGATTACGCCTCTGGCACACAAAATCACATTATGTAGGCGTGCATACCATAAGTTAGATAATTTATTCAGTGCTGAATGCACACAGCACTTTTGTACATTAATAAATACACTCATAGCATTGAGAGAACCTTCTCGTACAGAACGAGAGTTAGAAGTAGTCACCACTCACATCTGTTCTTTCAATGTCTCAGTTGTCACAGATCAGATCAGGGCATAGTGTAATAAAGCAATGTATAGTATAGTGCAGTTTGGTGCAGTGCAGAGTAGTGCAGTGTAGTGTAGTATAGTGTAGTGCAGTGTAGTGTAGTGTAATATAGTGTAGTATAATGCAGTATAGTGTAGTATAGTGTAGTATAGTGCAGTCTAATATAGTGTAGTATAGTGTAGTATAGTGCAGTCTAATATAGTGTAGTATAGTGTAGTGTAGTGTAGTGTAATATAGTGTAGTATAGTGCAGTATAGTGTAGTATAGTGTAGTGTAGTGTAATATAGTGTAGTATAGTGCAGCATAGTGTAGTATAGTGCAGTGTAGTGCAGTCTAATATAGTGTAGTATAGTGTAGTGTAGTGTAGTGTAATATAGTGTAGTATAGTGCAGTATAGTGTAGTATAGTGCAGTCTAATATAGTGTAGTATAGTGTAGTATAGTGCAGTCTAATATAGTGTAGTATAGTGTAGTGCAGTGTAATATAGTGTAGTATAGTGCAGTCTAATATAGTGTAGTATAGTGTAGTGCAGTCTAATATAGTGTAGTATAGTACAGTATAGTGTAGTACAGTGTAGTGTAGTATAGTGTAGTGCGGTGTGGTGTGATGTAGTGCAGTGTGGTGTAGTGTAGTGTAGTGTAGTGTAGTGTAGTGTAGTGTAGTGTAGTGTAGTGTAGTGTAGTGTAGTGTAGTGTAGTGTAGTGTAGTGTAGTGTAGTGTAGTGTAGTGTAGTGTAGTGCAGTGCAGTGCAGTGTAGTGTTGTGTGGTATGGTGTAGTGCAGTGCAGTGTAGTGTTGTTTATAGTGTAGTCTATTGCCGTGTAGTTTAGCATAATATTGAGAACAGAGTAGATAAAAGCTAAGTAAAGAAGAGTAGGGTAAGATACGGTAGATCAAAGCAGGGAAGAGGGGAGGAGAGTAGGGTAGAACAGAGGAGAGTAGGGTAGAACAGAGGAGAGTAGGGTGGAACAGAGGAGAGTAGGGTCGAACAGAGGAGAGTAGGGTCGAACAAAGGAAAGGAGATGTAATCAGTACATAGAAGAGGAGAGTGGATTAGAGTAGAAGAGAGTAGCGGAAAGGAGCTTACTGTAATGTAGTGTAGTGTTTTGTACTGTAATATAATGTGGTATAAGGTGACTGTAGATGATGAACCCTAATTACAATTAGAACTGTGTCTCTGATGGCAAACATAATATGAAAGATGATGTACGGAGACAATAATGTTTTTATACATGAGCTATTTATCTGAAGAGATAAAAAACAAAACGAAACAAAAAAAAAAGGGATGGCAGAACAAATCGTCTGTTATGCTTTCATATATCACCCGCATCTTCGCTTTAGTGTTTTCTCTGATCGGCTAACGTAGTCTTGATTAACAATCTGGCTACAGAGTCAAACACTGACAGTGCATAGGCACTTCTGGATCTCCTTAAAGCAGCGCTTCTCAAAATGTGAGTAGCGACCCTTTTGGGGGTGGAACAAGCCCTTCACAATGGTCGCCTAAGACCATCAGAAAACACATATTCACTGAAGTTATGCAGTAACAACGACATAATGTGTATCACTATCTTAAAGCATGGGTTGCAAACTATAGCTCGCGGACCAAAGTTGGCCCGTTGTGCAATTTTTTACTGACTCGCGAGACTGTCAGTTTATTAGATAATCTGTAGTTTCGTCGCCCAGCTTGTGAGTTGAGTGCATGGCGTGACACTGTGAGCTGCGTTTGTTTTTCGTTGGCACAGGAGCAGAGCATCTGTGGGGTGACCCGTTTGCTATTAAGCTGAAACTAGGATTACCAGATTACCAGATTAGATAATCTGCCACTCCCCCTTTTCTCCCGCCACTTTTTCCTTAAATAATATGATTTCTGCAAATAACTTACTTGAAGAGACACATTTGGGAATACATAGAAGAGCTCCATTGCGTGAGTGTGTCTGGCCCGAGACGTTAGCGAAGGATTATAATCTTAGATTATCCCACAAAAATATTATGTTACGATGATTTATGTTCCTAGGGGGTTATCCCCTCCCCTCCCCCCCCCCTCCTTATATGATGTACGTTCAGGTTCACCCATGTTTTTCTTTTCACCCATATTTTTACAGACCAATCGGCACTATGTGGGTAATGTGGGCAGCATTGTGCCGGCCGTCTTTACTTCTCTAGGACATACATCCTGGTAACCCTTTTAGGCTAGGTCGACCTGCGACGCCCCATAAAATGATAAAAATAAAGCAGCCAGCAGTGGCGATCGTAGTAGGTTGGAATTATGAGTCGGACTCGCAACGCCTTAGCCACGGAGGCCGCCCATTTCCAGGTTGGTATTTCCAAATCTGGCTCGTGGACCCAACTTAAAAATAAAAGACTGTCCACTCCTGTCTTAAAGTAACTGTTACATTTTCACAAACGAAACTTTTTTATCACAGGAGATTGACACCAAACACCTCTACCGCTAGTGACATCGACATCCGGTGACCACCATACCAGGGTAGGACACATCGTGCACATCCTCCCCAGCAAAAAAAATCATGTCCAATGGTGCGTATTCTGTTGGTGCGCACACCGGTGCAGGAACCGTATCCGGGTCTCTTTCATGTAAGAGGCTTTGAATACCCGTGAAGGTACTGGCCATAAGGTATCTGTCTCCACAGCCACCCTTGCAGTAGTAAGCCGTGTACCCTGTTGGATACAACACCCAGTCGTCCCATCCGATATCTTCAAAATCAATATAAATGCTATGCCTGCAACACTCATTATTATTGCAGCTGGGACTGTTGTTGTTTTCCTGTCGTTTGGTTCGGCTTTTTCTTAAGTCTTTTTCTACTGTTGTTATCCGCAGCGTCACTTTTGATATTAGAATCGGTTCTTTAGGAAGATCAAAAGCTGACTGTTCGATTACTTCTTCAGAGTTTTGCAATAATTGATGTATTCTTGCAGCTGTGTGTTCTACATTAGACATCGGTGTAATTGTGATTCCAATGGACACCGTTTTGTCCTCAGTGTCTAGAATATGAGACAGTAACTCTGGCTTTATATTGATTTCAATGAACTTTTTCCTATGAATGTTAACAGTTCGCGAGTGTAGCAATGTAGCTATAACCTTATCTCCATGTATATTGCTAGCTTTTCTTAACAGATAAAAGTTCACGTTTATACCAGATTTGTCCCTACCACGAAGCTTCCGCTTTTGACAACTAATACGCATGCGCAAGATGGCCGACTTTATTAGAAGGTCATGGTATGGAACTTCCGGTTGTTGAAAGTTGGTGTTGAATTTGACTGATGTTAATGGCGATGGTGTTGTGTTTACGCCGTATACTCCAACTGGTGTTTTTACAGGCCGCACTTTCACCCAGACTTGAGGATCTGAAATGTAGAAAGAATAAACTGACGTTAATTTCCTCAAAACACATTTCGTTTCATAAAGATTTATTTTAAAACACAAGCCACGACAATGCATATCTGTCATTATCATCATCATCATAAGCAACATCATCAAGTAGCAGGTCCTTTGCAGAACGCTGCTGTCTTCATAAACTAGAAGGTCAAACGGTTTCTTGCCAACTCCATCCTACCTAACCCCCTTCCCTCTCCACCCCCCCCCCCCCTCCCCTTAGCTATGTCTAACTTTCCTTCGTTGAGGTTCCTAATCATTGCTGTGTTCATTGAAATCGTGCCTGAATCAAATAATGTTGTCCTAATGTTGACATACAATTACAAACAAGCCTTATTACGTTGTTTCCAGAAGATACGAGCGTACTTATGGCACTGCACTAGCAAGCGGGTTAAAGTAAAGATTCTGAGATCATACATCTATCACGTGGCAGCTTATGGATATAAGTCGTGGACTCTTTACTCAGTCATTTAAATAAAAAAAAAAATTTCAATGGGGCCTTTGAGCTGAGATGCTACAGGAAAGATTCTTACGATACCATGGACCCTGAAGAAGATAGTATCTGGGCATCGAGGAGGACTGGCCCATAAACAGCATCCTGTCTCTAAAGCTAGTTATTCTGACCATGTTAAACGTCATGGTGGCTTGATGAGAACGGGGGACTGAGAATACAGTTTCCAGGAAATGAGACAGGGGCAGGCCTCTGTGAAGTTGGATATAAGACACTAAACATTCATTGGCTGTGAAAGCACATAGGGTGATCAACTGGCTAGAGGAAGAGAGACATTCAGACGTGTCGCGACCACAGCGACGTTTTATAAAGGATCTGCCGCTTGATGATGATAATGATCCGAAAGATATGCAGAATCGATTTATGCAACGGGAAAAAAATGTTACTTTAAAAGATTCTTAGGGGAAAACATCAATAAAAAATTTGGAAAGTGAATATTTCCGGTTAAATCGTTTATTGTTACATTGAGCCTGTTCTGTTGTATGGTAGTGCATCTTGGAATGTCGGCCAACAAATTCAGAAGAGTTTGGAGGCAACTGAGATGTGGTTATTGAGAAGAATATTGAGAATACCTTGGACTGCCAGAATAAACAACGTTAATTGCCTGGAAAGGGCTAATAAAAGTAGAACATTATATAATTAGTTGCGTATCCTTGTACAGGACGTTGCAGAACCAGCCTCAGCACTTTCTGGCTGTTTTGGTTTTTCTAGGCAAATTTACGTCCAGTAGTTTGCCATTGCTTTTTTGGACAGTCCGCTCTCGATACTACGGTCAAAACTATTGAAAGACAAACCGTCGGTAGCAGGGGTCTAACCCGGTACCCCGGCATTACGAAGCGCGTTCGCAACGCCTAAGCCACAGACGCCGACAGAACATTATTACAACAATGAAAATGTTACAAAGTTCTTTGGTCATTTGATGCGAAAAGGAGGACTAGAAAATATTGTGGCGACTGGAAAAATCACTGGTAGAAGAAGCAGAGACAGACCAAGAGAAATAATAGTGGATGGCTTAAGGAATATCATCAGTAGAATTGATCCAGAACACCAAAGACAGAGAGATCTGTGGCGACGCATGAAAACCTACGCCAGCTGGTAAGCCACTTGATGATGGTGGTTTATTAAAATCCCTTATTATTTAATACTGAATAATTACGCGTATTTTTGTTCAATCATTCAATTTGATACGATACGGAGAAAAAAAAGAACAGTTATCGCCCATGTCTGATTCATAAAACACTAATCCATTTTCTTAAAGATTCCCTCCAAAGAGGAGATACAAAACAGAAACAAAACGACAGCGATGAGAGAAAAAAGCAAATGCACGCGTATCGACTACGTCAGAATGGATGTTGCAATCTTTGTCTTAGTTTTAGTCTTGGTCGGTGTTTTGACTTCACTACAATAGGGTCACCCCATACTTTCTCCGTTCCTGTGCCATTTAAAAACAAATAAAATGTCCCTCACTGTTCTGTTTGAAAAATTGGTGAACAAACAATTAGTCTCTCAACAATCCAGAAACATGCGCGTGCAGTAAATGCATATGGCAGTTGCTAGAGACCCCAAAGCCAACAGTTGACACTTGTAATGCAGTTTGTCGTTGATGGAAGTAGTCGGGCGCGATAAGTTGGCTATACACACGTACAATCATTGCATAAGGTATTTCACCAGCTCACACGTAAACCGACTACCGGCCATATTGAATACCACGACAAAACCGCTGCACAAATGAAAGGCATTCTACGTGAAAAACACAGCTCACAGAGCTGCCACCAAACACTAAACTTAGTAGCACAGGCAGCGAAACCGTAGACTACCGTCCTTGTGTGGAAACTGTATTAGTAAAGCGCTGTCGGGAGCAAAATTCAATGTTGCTATTCTCTTTCAAGGTAGTATTTTCGGTGAGATTACGTTTCTAAGTGACATATGCG